ATTCACCAAGCTTTCTGATTACATTAGTTTATTTCAGTGATCACGGAGAGAAAGGTAAGGAAAGAATTATGAAGAACTAAATTAAACGAATATTAACATTTTTTAAAATAAAAAGCAAGAGTATGTTTTGTTGTAACTGCAGGAAGAAACTCAACACTTTAAACTATTGCCCAACCTCTTTAACACAATAAACATAATAATCAGGAAAAATCCATTAAAAGAATCAAATACATTAAAGGAAAAACAGCGAGTTGAAAAACCTATTCACACACTACCATAGCAACGAATAACAGAGAGAACTACCAATAAAAACAATCAAAGCAGACAAAGAAATATTAATTTTCTGTACAATCGTTTTTACATTATATTTCAATGGTAGAATACAGAAGTTATCTGGATTCCTAAAAACAAAGTATAGAAACACATTCGAATCTAACCTAAAATTTACTCGAATTTGTCAAGTTTAAGTGCAGCACATTGGTTACAGATTAGTAAATGATATTTTTTTTTAAAAAAAAGAAGTGAACACATGGCTAAGAACAGAGATCAATGAAGAGAAGAAATTGGTGTTGAAGACGACGATAGGATAGGAGCGCGCAGGGTATTGTGAGGAACGGCAAATATTTGGAAAAGGTCTTTTGGGTTGAACGCTACCTAAGGTAACATCTCATAAAAGACCCAGACTTCTGATAAAAGTTGATGGGCCAAACGTAAAACTAGAGTCTTTTAAGCTCTTTTTAAATAATAGAGAAGCTAGAAGCTACCGACTTTTGTGTGCCAAACATAGCCTTAGAATGATAACAGAAAGCCTATAGCTTTTGATTCACATTGAAGGGAACCCTAACGTATGATAGTGTTCTTGTTCCCTCCATGAGAAACACAATGATGTTATCCCAGAGAGCTTTCTTAAGCCTTATGACCTCAAATAACTCCAGAAATTGTTTAAAAAGATTAGCCCTTATCACCTAAACAAGTTACATACAGGCACTACTTGATGTACTCACGTTAATACACATATGATGGGTACTCTGCTTTGATTGATAAGCTTGGTATTGCAAATTTTTGGAGCTTCAGGTTTATAGATAGGCTTTTATTGCTGAAGAAACAAGAGGGTGTGGTTTTAAGGAGCCCCTTTTAAAATGATTATGAGGCATTTTGGAAGAGCTGGTTTTCCCTTGTTGTCCCTCAATTATCTTCCGAAGTACATTTGACATGATGATTAAGATAATAGGTATTATGTAGCGAAGAGAGAAATGTGTAAGAATTTCTGTGAATCACAAATCATTTGCCAAAAATGAAAATAGAGGATTATTTTGGGACGGTCGAAAAAAGAATTTTGGGAGATAAATTAGGGACGGATGAAGTATGAACTTGTCATTCGACGATTAAGTCATACGATTTCCTGATAGACATTATTGTGGCGGCCAATTGTCCAATGGTTGCCCAAATTGTTTTTTTACAAGATGTTTAACAAACGTATATTCACTGGTGTGTGGAATTTTGCTAGAGACATACAACTGTGTTGTTGCATGGTCAATGATGTAAAGATGCTCACTTCTTAATGAAACATGGATGTGTTCCTAATTCAGTAATTTACCAGAAGCTCATACATTCGATTACTCTCACATTCTAGTACGGTCAACTAAGCGCTTCAACTATTAGAGGAGATCTTTCTTAAGCGTTGCATCGATCTCAGATATTAAAACTTTAAATGGAGTTATATGCGGGCTTTGTTATACCGGTGAGATCCATGAGGCAGATAAGTTGGGGGATATGATGTTTACTCATAGTTTCATCCCAGGTGCTATAACTTATGGCTATTCCATTCCCATGCCTGCCCAGAATTAGCTGGGTTGCTAACTTTCTGATCTTGTCTGAGTACTCCCAGCCAGCATAGGGTTAGAAGTAAGTAAATAACTGCAAATACATTTTGGTTGCTCTTCCATTATGAGTGGAAACCTGACAACTATCAATGTAGTATTCAATTCAATGAATCATGTTTCAGTTACATCACTTTATAAATTTCAAACTGTCATCTTGACATAATGCTATCCAAACCTATGTTCTTCATTGAATTGTTTAGTAGAACACTTCCTTTTTGGAAAGATTTGAACATAATCAAAACAGTGTCCAAACAGTGCACTCCAAAGTAAAGTCAAATTTATTTTCTTAATATGTGTGAAGTCAAAACCGGAACTTATTTCAGAATCGGAGGGAGTACATTTTTTTGGAAAAGCTTCTTTTTTGTATCACTTTTTACCCTGGCTAGCTAGCTACTCTTAGCTTTTCACCTCTCTAAAACAAATGTGTATTGATTTAAATTATCTAAAACCACAATATGCAGGTATTCTGTTGCTCCATCAATCAACAGATTGCGGTTATGGTCAATGAAATTCAAGTTTATGTTTCTTCATACCAATCACTCTTCTAAACTGGGAATTTTCATACTACGTCACCAAAGTAATTAATACGTGGTACTGTATATTATTGTGATGATTACTAGCAATAAAAGTTTTACTCTTAAATTTCACAAAAACACCTGCAGTGAGCATCCACATTTTTAAATAAACTCAAGAAGATATCAAGAGAATAAAGTCAATAGAAGAAGATAACTACATGAAAAAAACAAGACTAGTGGTAGAACTGTAGAAGCTTTTAATTTCATGAGGAGACCATAACATCCAAGCGTATATATGTTAATTATACTAAATTAAAATATATTAAAAATCCATTACATCTAATAACTGACTACTAATAATAGCAATTACTCCGTATAAAAGTATCAAAAAATAATACTACTTAAGTACTTATATAATTGTCCTCCAACAATTAATCATCTTTCCAAACAACAATCTTACATTGGGCTCATACTTCAAAACGTACAAACATATTAGAATCGAGATTAGACTGAAAGAGTCAAACATTGGGCCTTCACGATTGCAACAAGGGATTAATGAAGCTCAATATCATCTGTCTATGTGTAAAAGAATTGCATAATAAGATTACTATGAGATTGAGTGAATAGAAAATGCATTTCAGATTAATTTAAAGCTAAATTTTGTTTACCTTTGCAGTCTTTTCACTATCAAAAAATTGCTTGATAAGATTAATATGAGTACATAGGAAAGCCTTTTTAAATTCCACACTTCGATCACTAGATTTAGAATCAAACTAAGAGTTAATTGCCTTCCAAAAGCAATATAACTCGTTGATTCCGAAAACGGGCACAAATGAGCCAAAAGTGATTGGAAAAGACTTCTCATCACCCAACCTAATCTGCATTATTCTAAAGAAAATAGGGAAAAACACAAGCAAAACAATGTCTAACTCCACAAAAATAACAATAAAATAATGCTACCTCCGTCCCACTAAGATTGTCCCATATTACCATTTCGGTCTGTCCCACTAAGATTGTCTCATACTCTATACCAAATTTGAAAATGTTTGTGTCGTTCTAAATCATTCTTACCTTTATTCTTACTTTATCAATTCAATATCAACTACATAAACAACATTTTATTAATTTGCGTGTCACTCCCTCTTGTCCCATTGTTAGTGGGATGGAGGGAGTACCAACTAAAATTAGAAATCCCTCCTAGAATACCAAGGAGCTGGAAATTGCATCTTGGGAGAGCAATAATCGTCACCATCCCATTTTTTATTCATCTAGATTTCCCCCCACCATTGTCGGCGTGATAATACTACACCTCAAGATTTGCAATCAGAATCGATCTGCTCTCTCGTAGGCCTGGACTCGAGCCGGGTCGGGTCCGGGTCGGGCCTAGGCCTGGGCGGGCCGGAGGTTCAGAATTGGTGGACCCGAGACCGGCCCGGGTAGCCACCGGGCCGGGCCGGGCCTGACCTCCGGTTTTTTTTTTTTTTTGCTTTCCTAACTCCCCCCCCCCCCACCCTCCAAACCCCTCCTAACCATCAAGCCCAACCCGGGTGGAACCCCAAAAAATGAAAGGGAAAAAAAAATCAATTTGGCCCGGACCCGAGCCCGACCCGGCCGGGCCAGTTCGCCAAATTTAAGACCCGAGCCCGGACCCCCCCCCCCGGACCTAGGCCCGACCCGGACCTGGACCCGAGAACCGGGCCGGTCCCGGTCCCGCACAGTAGCGGGCCGGGCCGGTCTACGGGCCGGGTGGCCCGACCCGAATCCACCCCTACTCTCTCGCTTGCTATATTATTGAGCCACCACCCCCAACTACCATAGGATAACTTAGGGGCTATTCGCTCGTTGTTCGTATAGGTCCACTAAATATCTGTTTAAATATTAAAGAATTTGTTTTCACTAGAATATAATAATAATATACATAAAAGTAGGGCAATATGGATGATACGGTCAATTTATAAATATCATTGTCACTAAAATGTTAAGTGGAATAACACAAAAGCCGTGCATGTATTAACTAATCATTTTGAATATGTAATTATCTATAGAGAGTAGAGACTATGCATTATATGAAAAAAGACTACATTCTTGTCCATATTTATATTTGTCATGTAGTTGTAATTATTGAAAAAGAAAGATTAAAAACAATAAATAACTAAAAGATTGCAGATGAAAAAATGTGGATTTAATAATTCTCTTTACCTGTATTGCATAAGAGATTTGTTGATAAGCAACTCCTTACCCGTATATAGGAATTAGGATACCATGACAAGTATCCCCATCTCTAGATGCAAAGCTTCAGAAATCACATCATACCCAAGTACCCAACCGAGTATGTCGGTCTACCTGATCGAGTTCAATTGTTTTCCAGATCCAGTTTGATCCGTGAGTCAAGTCCATACCCAATCAAGTATATGTTATATTCGACCAGGCATATGCATAAATAAAGGATTATCGGGACTTTCATCTTTTATCTTGCACCTTCCTTACTACTTTGGAGTTCATTCCTGATCTTTTGGTTGATTTAAGCTAAAAAAAACCTAATCTAAACAAATAACAACTAAGTAGTAAAATAAAGGGTTGCGCCAAAAATGCGTACTGACCCCCTACACACGATAAAAGCAACATAAAAGTAAAAACATAAACAATGAGAAATCCACACTATCAAAGTCCTCCACACTTAGTTTCTTACTCATACTCTAGTAAAAATCAACACTGGAGTACTTCACAATCCACAGAAAAGGAATAAGTTCATTAAAACAAACAGTTCAATTTTACATTTTATCCCCAATTTGCAGAGAAGGGGTCTGCATGATCTTCACCACGTTTGTTTGAATCTCAAGTGCTCCTAAGTGAAACGAGTTCCTGCATAAACAAAGATAAAAATTTCCTCTCATTCTCGCATTCTGCCTAGGAGCCTTTTCGGTTTTTCATCGTAGCCGCTCCTTCTTTATTATCTCTCGACTCACTAAATGGTTTTAGCACTTTTACTTAGATTGCTCATTTTTGGGCTTTTCAACCTAACTACCGCTACCATTATTATTATTATTTTAAGAAGAGAATCCAAGTTAGAAGGTAGAAGGCGTTATGAACATACCGAGAGTGATCTTTCCCCGCTTGATCGAAGCACTGTCCCTAGTGCTCATTGTCGTTATCACCATTATGACCTCCTCTTCCATCGCCGACATATCCTCCTCTGCCACTGCTCGGTCTACCAAAATTACTCCAATAAGAGGGGTCATATCAAGATGGGTGTTGTACTGGAGCAGGCAAGGAGCATGTAGGTCAAAGTAAGCATACATGGGGCAAAACGCCCGTATCTGATCCTCAGCAGCCTGTCTTTGTGCCTCCTCTATGCGGTTCAATGTCTCATCCGATCTAGTGAATCGTCTATCTAATGACTGGAATTTGATATTTAGGGTGTTTATACCCGCCAATATCTGTCGTTGCCCTTCCAAGACTTGGGTTTGGAAGGTGTCATTTTTTGGGGTGCTGTAGGAGGATGAGGAGCACTTCCCAGTTGATGCAATATGAAGTTCGGAGCACTTCCCTTGATAATTTTTGGGAAGCTCAAAGACATTGCTCTCACACCACATTGCAATTAGACTCTTCAAAACATAGTTGGGAGTCAATGCCGTGTGCAATAAGGTTTGTTGGGTCATTGGGCAGATTTTGTGCCCCGCATCCAACCACTTCTGGATGCATGACCTTTCATATGTCTGCAAAATGGGTAAAGCATAAAACGTGACTATTAAATTGCGCTCAACGCCTCAACTCACTCAAATGAGATCCGAAGTGAGGTTTACTTGTTACTGATATTCTAGACTAGTATCTAAAAATAGAACTAGTGTCGGATAACTCAAGCTCAAGTCACGTTAAACAATTAGAGGGTGAACAAATGGGCCCAAACTAACCCTAAACAGGCTGCTCTAAACTATGAAGTGGGAAGCCAACTCAAGAACCACTACCGGACCAGTCAGTGATTACATGAAAGATCCTCGGGTGGTATGTTTTCCTATCAATCATAGGCAGATTCAAACCCAATAGACACCTGAAGTGGTATAACTCAACAATCACAACTTGATATTAAACATACAGATTGATTCTAGAAACAATCACGCACGAAGGAAAAACTGGGACCGGACCTGACCAGTAGATAAAATAACCGGATCATTCATCAACTCAAGTGATATCGGACATCGAAAATCATCTGGTATGATTGGGACTCTGTGCTTAATCAAAGTCTTTTCACTCTCATTGGCATCATCATCTTCTTCAGGATTATCATTCACAACACAGTCCTTTATTTTCCTCCAAATATATGACACTGCCTCAAACAGCTCAAAGCACTCCTCTGGAATACCGTCTGAAGAGATGACCATATCAAGTATGACAAGTGATTCCCTTTTAAGATCATTTATGGTCCTGAGATGCAACATTTCTGATAGTCTTTTAAAGATTATCGGTTCAGCATCCTTTTCTCTTTGTGCCATGGATAAATCAATTGCCAGCTGTAAATCTCGCGAGTCCTTTTCTGATATCGCTCTTTTGAAGTAAGCATGCACAAGTTCTATCTGAAAACAAGGCATGTGAAACATAAACCATTAATAAAAGGCAAAAAGATGATTTTGTATAACTCACTGCTACTTAAATCTGAAAATGAAAGAAGTAAACATAGAGGTAATAAATTAGAGGTACTTGTTCTCGAATTTTCTCTGATATGTCAAGCTTATCTATATATTAATATAGTAAAACGGAATACTGAAGGAGGGAGTGGGCGGGAAAAATTGTAGCAAAAAAATGGAATAGGGGAGTAAGTGGGGGGAGGGGGAGTGGCAGAATAAATATCATATGTGTTGTGTTTAATGCACTTCTTATCGTGAGCTGGCAAATGAATAATATCGATTGTGCTGATGCACTTCTCAAAAAAGAGAAGTATTAATGGTTGTGCAAATACATCTTTCGAGATCTATTTAAATTACTTAATAACTAAGCTGTCAAAACTTATGGCTTTTTAAATTCCGATGGCCCTGCCCATTTTGCAATGGTCAAGGATTTTTGGCGTTAAAGATCATCCCAACCAGCTGCTGCCCTTCTTACTAAAGCTACTACAAATCCCTATAATTCATATAGTCTTTTGATCATCTCATATTCATAGGCATGTAGTTGGACTGTGATTCTGTGAACATGCCTAACCGCATAGTAGGATAGGATACGGAGTACTTTTTTGCATGTCGCTCAAGAGATTGACCATTATGTTTTTTGTATGTTATGAATGTAAATGTTCTTAAAGGACATACCTACCATAAGATAGAAGTGGTCAAAAATGATGAGGTATGTTAAACTATTTGTATATATAATGTCTATATATAGTTCAATTTATTATATATTATACACAATTAGACTTGACACAACCACACAACAACACTTTCAAATACTCCGTAGTTCTAAAATTATCAAAGTTAAATAGGATGAAGTCATTAGCATGCATTACGTTGATCAAATTATTATGAAGTTTTTTATCAACGATCATGATGAGCCAGTCATCATCATCAATTCATCATTCAACTTTATCATATTGAGTTGAAGTTGTTATTTACTATCGTACTAAGGAGTAGGGGTGGATCCGGTTCGGGACCCGGTCCGGCACAATTTGAGACTAGATTGGGTCTGTTTTTCGTGTCCTGGTTCAAGACCGAGGACCCAATCGGGTAACTGGCAGGCCTGGCCCGAGTTTGAACTATCGGGACCGGACCGGGTTGTTCCTGACCCAGCTTGACCAATTTTTCTTTTGGCGTAAATGTAAAATTAAATATAAGTGGATCACGCCCGGCCCTTGACTGGACTCGGTCTTCCCCTAGCACTGATGGGTCCGGGACCAGAACCGGGTCGACTTCACCTCTACTATTGAGTATAGTGTTCATGCTAAAAATAATAGTATGTTTGTGTCTTTAATTTACTCGAAGTTATTCAATTATAGTACTCCGTATGTGTATATTTTTTTAATCGTTTTTAATCGTTTTTATGTACTTTCTCTTTTCTCATAGTGTCTGTTTTATTAAATACCAACATTCTTGACCTGAATGACTTTTGAACCTGTGACCTCCGCCTTGGGAGTGTCACAGTGATGCCATCGAACCACAAGGTGTTTGTCTTTTTTTATGATTGGAGCATCATGTAATTCAAAAAAAGGAGTGAAGTTTTTTCTAAAATAGTTTTAATAAAAAATATATGGACAAAAAGTGTGATTATAAGTTAATATGAGTAACTTTTATAGTCACTACGATGTAACATTTTAATATAATTAGTTACTAAAGTTATTAGGGTCACTTTTTGTCTACTACTTTTGTTTTGGTTATATATTTGGAATCATTTCTAATTATAATTTTTAAGTTATAATCAATTTGCCAATGGTTTAAACAATTTATTTTAAAATCTGAATAATGGAAAATGGAAATATAGTTATACCATTGAATGAATTTCGAATATACTTATAATTAATAAAATAGTTACTGCAAAGTGTTTATATTGTTATTTTAATATCACATGAAAAATCTCGAACCACTTTTTGTTAGCAAAAGGAGATAACTTTATGTCTTTATGTGCGTGCATCTTCATTATTATTGAATCTAAATCCCTTTAGTAATAAACGACGTTTTTAGTTCTCTTTCGAACATATGTACCTTTCAATTTCTCATTGTTTTTATATTATGATGATTTTATATTATGATGATATTGAATGTTGATTTCTGAAAAATAAACCAGCATAGATATAATGACAAGAAAACTTCACAAGAGTAAGAAAAAAAATTGGCCGATCTCGACTACTGCTATTTGGAATTAATTAATTACAAAAAGTTAAATGAAATTTAAAAAAAAATCGAAATAAACACGGATATACAGAATCCAATTTTACATGTAAAAGAAATTAGAATTATAAGAGGAAGAACATGTATACGGAATTACTCTACTTGAAAATATTTGCCTAATAATGATGGTTTGTTCTTGCGGAAATATGTGATAAAGATGGTAAGGATATTAATATAATAATAAGAGGCCGTTTGGAACCTCTCTTTTTCAGCTTATCGGGCTTGTCACCCAACTTTTTCACCAAATACGTAATAAGATTGGAGTTACTTTTATGGCTGTTTGGGCTAAAGTTACTCTAGATGATCATTTTAGCTATTTTACATATAATTATTTCTTTATTTTATTAATAAAATATATTTTAAAAATAAATTTTTATTATATGACCAGAATCAGCCAATGCAGCTACTTCAGCCAGAATTTCATAAATTTCAGCAGAATCAGCCAAATCAGCCGATTTTCATGCTAGCAAACAGGCTCTTGTTAAAATTGGAATAAAGAGAATAATAATAAAAGCAAATTGGAAGAGAAGGGAATTCGTAAAAGGATAAAATTCTTCCTTATGTTATATGAACTTACGAGTACTGAGTGCATGTATATATATGCATATTACAAGGGAAATAGATGAGCAATTATTGAGTAGGAGACTGCTACACATGCATGTGCCATGCATCTTCCTAAAATAATAGAGGCGTACAACATATAATATATATATATATATATATATATATATATATATATATATATAATTTATAATTCTCAATACTCCCCCTCAAGGTGGTGTATGAAGGTTACGAATACCCAACTTGCTCCGTAGAAATTGAAAACGATCAGTACCAAGTGCCTTGGTAAAAATGTCTGCAATCTGATTGGTGGTTGAGATGGGAAACGGTTGAAGTTCCTTACTAGCCACCCTCTCTCGCACAAAATAACAGTCAATTTCCACGTGTTTGGTGCGTTCATGGAAGACTGGATTAAGTGCGATGTGTCGTGCTGCTTGGTTATCGCAAAAGAGGGACGTGGGACGCATTTGTGGAATTGTAAGATCGCGAAGTAACCAACGTAGCCATAAGATTTCACTAACTGTGACAGCCATAGCTCGATATTCTGCTTCTGCGGAAGAACGAGAAACGACAGACTGTTTCTTAGTTCGCCATGATATTGGTGAATTCCCAAGAGTAATGAAGTAACCAGTGCTAGAGCGACGGGTGAAGGAGCAACCTGCCCAGTCTGCATCACAATAACCCTGTAAGATAAAGTCCTTTTCGGATGATAAAAAATGCCTTGTCCGGGCGTTTGTTTAAGGTAGCGAAGTATCCGTAAGGCTGCATCAAGATGAGTTTGTCGTGGGCTATTGAGGAATTGGCTAAGCTGACTGACCGAATAAACAATGTCCGGTCGAGTAACAGTTAGATATAACAGTCTGCCAATGAGACGACGGTAGGAAGAAGCATCTACTAGTGGGCTATTATCGTCCGGGCGATGTTTCAAATTTTGCTCCATGGGGAATGAACTGGGGCGCCCTCCTAGAAGACCACTTTCTTCTAGAATGTGTAGAGTGTACTTTCGCTGGCTTAAAACATAACCCTCAGAAGAACGAGCAACTTCAATACCGAGAAAATACTTCAATTTACCCAAGTCTTTAATGCTAAATTTAGCATCCAAGTAACCTTTCACAGTGTCAATGTGGGTGATGTTATTCCCGGCTAGCAAAACATCATCAACATAGATAAGGGCAAACGTGTTGATGGGACCTTCCTTGAAAATGAAAAGAGAGTGATCTGCCTGGGATTGACGAAAGCCAATTGCAGTGAGGGCTTGAGTAAATTTGTGATACCAATTGTGGGATGCCTGTTTTAATCCATAGAGTGATTTTTGTAATTTACAAACGCGATTGTCACCATTTTTTGTAAATCCCTGTGGAACCCGCATGTAGACATCTTCAGAGAGATCTCCATGGAGAAAAGCATTGTTAACATCGAGCTGATGCACTGTCCAATTGCATTTAGCTGCAACTGCCAGCAAGCACCGTACAGTGACCAGTTTGGCAACCGGTGCAAATGTCTCATGGAAATCGATCCCTTCTACTTGTGTGAAACCTTTAGCCACCAGTCTAGCTTTGTAACGTTCCACATCTCCATTAGGTTTGTATTTGATTTTGTACACCCATTTAGAATCAATGACCCTTTTTCCCGGTGGTAATTGGACTAGAGTCCATGTACCGTTTTTCTCCAGAGCATCAACTTCCTGTTGCATGGCCTTCCGCCATGAAGGATCCTGTATAGCTTGTGAAAGATTTTTAGGCTCATCACGTGAAGTGATGGCCGCCAAAAATGCTCTATGTGAAGGAGAAAATTTTTCATAACTAATAAATTTGGAAATGGGATATACCGTCGAGCTAACTGTATGGGCAGTGGGATGTGAATGATCAATTGACGGTGGCAATTCCGTCTCATAATCAATTAAATGCCTTGGAAATCTGCGTATCCTCACACCCCTTTTTGGTTCAACATAAGAAGTCAAAGTAGGTTGACTGTGTGGTCCCTCTGTGGTAGACTGTGGCTGAGAAGCATCAACTTGAATTATTTGAGGAGGTTGACCATGTAATTCAGAAGGTGACAAAATGCTTGATTGAGTGTTCGTGATTCCTCCAGGTGGGATGTTGATTAAATTTTCTCCCATCATCATTGTAGGGAGTCTGTTGGCATTTTGTGCTAAAGAGGGGCCATCATCTGGACAAAATCTCGGCCACCCATGTGACGCAGCTGGATGAGGATCTGGAGATGCCAAGCTCAAATCAGTGTTGTCTTTTTCTGGTGAGGTAGGGCTGCCGTGAGCTGGGATCCGCCCAATCAAAGAAGGTGGATGGGAAACTTCTACACGAGAGGTGCTCTCCTTTTCTGGTGGAGACCGTGAAGTATGGCTGCTCCTTCTCTCAGCTAAAAAAGGCTGCTCACAGTCATCAGTTGAACAGTCCGCAGGTCTGGTAACTTGAGTGGGACGCTGTATGTCAAGAGTTTCATAGC